ACTGCCGTGGGGGTGGCAGAGGCTCCTGCCATCACCGCTGCGCTTGCCAGCTGTGAGCCCAGCTTCTGGCTGAGGGACACTCCCCCTGTGGGAGCACACTGACCATCGGGGGGCAGCTCCTGCATTGAGCACCTGCCCCCTGGTAGTCAGTGTGCATCATAGCGACTGGTTGTTCTGCTGTTTGGTCAATTTGCATATTAGCCTTTTATCTTATAGGATTGTTTGGAGGCGGGTGGCGAAGTCAAGGCTAGCGTGATGGTGGGAGGTGGTGGAGATGTTAGAAGTGCTGAAAGCACCAGCATGGCCGGGGGCGTGATTACAGGGTCAGCTCTGGCCTTGGGAAGTACCATCTCCACGTTTGGCGACGGATGGAAGAGAAAAGGGATGGACGTGGGAGGTTTCAGACTTCCAGCCTGGATGCCGGAGTGAATAACAACAGTATTCACTTCACTCCTCACTGTTGGAATAAAAACAGGTTTAGGGGCAAATACAGTTAATTCTGACTTGTCAAGTAGAAGGGTATTCACCTGGTGATGTTTTCCCGGGGGTCAGGGTATAAGGTCAGAGTTGAGGAGAAGGTTGGGCAGGGATGGAGATGGAGAACTCCCAGTCACGGGCCTGGCCTTGGATGCCTGCGAGAGGAGAGAGAGATTTCACAGCATCTCTTAGATCGAGTCTTCCCAGGACATGAGTTAACCGATGATGGCCATTAGACGACAAGAGGCCTTCAGAGCCTGGCAGCACCCCTTCCCTGAAGTGCCCCTAAAGGAAGCAAGGGACCGGAAACCGTCAGGGGCATATGCTTTGTTCTCTGTGGCGGTCACTGCTCGGGGAGACTGAGGTGCCCGAGCGTTAACTTCATTCATCCCACCTTCCTTCTGGGGAACTTCTCCAGTTTTCTAATCGGTGACGTGTTTTCTTGAATTCCTCTTCCTGGCAGATGGGGGATAAACATACTTTTGTATTATTTTTGAAAGATGAGAGTGTGTTGAGCACAGAACCTTAACCTTGAACGTTTAGGATGACCACGTTGCCCAGGTACCCCAGTGGCCCATTGTCATACGTGCAGAAATGAAAAACGGGACTTTAAAAGCCAAGGGTCTCCCTGGCTGGTGTGGCTCAGTTGGTTGGGTGCTGTCCCGTGCACCGAAAGGGGACGGTTTCGATTCCCGGTCAGGGCAGATGCCCAGGTTGCAGGTTGAGTCCCCAGTAGGGGGTGTGTAGGAGGCAGCTGACTGATGGTTTGCTCTCACATCGATGTATCTCTCTCTCTCTTCATCTCCCTGCCTTTCTCTCTTAAAATCAATTTAAAAAACCTTCTAAAAAGTGAGAGGTTCAGCTGGTGCCTGGCTTCCCGCTGTTCCTAGTTGAGTCTTTCCTGACGTCACAGGATGAATCAGCACAGACAACATGAATGTCTCTGAAGGCCTCGAGCTGGGAAGCATGCGATTCTGGTGCCTGATTCATTCCTCCTGCGGCCCAGGTGCCTGGGTGTCAGCTGGTCAGTGCTGCTCTTCTCTTTGTCTGCGGGGGCCACTGGGGCCACGGCGTCCTGCTGGCGTCTGCGTCAGGGAAGCTTAGCATGCGTGAGTCACCCACGGTTCTGAAGGCTCCTGTTCTCTTTCCTTCCTGCTATCACCAGAGGCTCTGCCTCGCAGCGCTCTCCTCTATTCCAGCACGCACAGAAGGCTGTGCCTGTGGGCCGTTCCTCTTTGAAGGTTTGAGTTGCACTGAATATTTATAGCGTGTGGACAAGCACTTAAAAGGGGTTTTAGTTCCCCCAGGATGGATCTCTTGCCTTACGGAGGCCTTTTGATGATAAGAATTCCCACAGGCTCCAGATCAGGCTGCGTCACGTTAGGAACTCCTCACGGACATCAGGGGGCAGTTGCTCATTAAAGGGCCCATCTCAGCTTTGCCCTGGACAAGGCGACAGCGGGCTTGTGGCTGGCTGTGGCCGCGTTGCTCAGACTGGTGGTCAGCTGCGTTGTTGATGCCTTGGGATCCAGGAGGGGGGCACCGAGCTGCGTGTGTATGTGTGTGTGTGTGTGTGTGTGTGTGTGTGTGTGTGTGTGTGTGTGTGTTGATTGATCTGGACTAGAGCTAGAGGTGGCAGCACAGGGACATGGCATTAGGTAGTCCAGGCACCAAGAAGTGCCCTTGACTGTGAATCAGGACAGAAACCGTTCCCACACATGCTGCAGGGCCTGGCTCGTTAGGTGGCCGACATGTGTTACTTGTTAGTTGTTAGAAGTTGCACAGCAAAGGGCAGTACGTGGAGCAAAGAAGGCACCGCCTCCAGGGAGAGTAGTCGAAACCAAGAAGAAGAGAGAACAGGCTCACGGCGGTTCTGTAGAGCAGATGTGCCATCCAGCTGCAGATGCCCGAGTCGGTGCAGCCTCTATAAGGACCTAAAATCAACTGCCACGTGCAGATGGCCCTGGTCGTGTGTCTGCCTCCTTCCTGTGACGCTTCTGCCCATGACTGGGGTCACAAGCACTCTAAGTGAGCAATCAGAGGCTTCTCGAACCCAGTCTGTGGGTGCCTGATGGCAGAAGCCGTGGGTTGCGGATTGGTTTTGAATGGTGGTCTCTGATTTCTCCCACCGCCGTCTCCAATTTCTCCCACCACGATGGTGGAAGGTGGAAGTGAATAGATGAATTATGAAACACCTGAAGGATAAACACCATGTTGTCATTAAAAAACCACATTTTCAAATGACATTTGCGGATACGGGAAGATTCTCATTATGTAATGTTATGCGAAGAAAAGCAAGAGGCTATATCTCGACCCATATGGGGGTCCAAATAAATTCCTTTTGAACAAATGACCATTTCCCAGATGAATGGGGAGAAAACCTCAGATGTTGGTGCAAAAAATGTGAGTCCGTTGATGACTTCCACTCTTGGGCTCCTGCAGTGAAATGTTGTGGACTCGTGGCCAAGAGGTCTGGGCGCTGTCCAAGCTCTGAACCCTTTGGAGCTCATCTGGAAGCAGAGGGGACAGTCTGCTCTGGAATGGTCCAGAAGGGCCCCTGTGGGCCCCACGTGCTCCGAGTTGCCCTTTGAGACTGTGGACAGAGCACAGGCATCGAGACAGACCCCGCGGGCAGGTCTCCTTGGTCTGCGTCACTTTGTCAGCCGGACCTGATCAACCTTGACCTCCTCTTGCTCCCCATTGTTTCATATGACCGTCTCGAGTTTCTACCTCCGGAGCCACTCCTTGCTGCTGCTGGGTAAAGAGGCCTCTTGATTTATTAATCAATTAATCAGTGCACGCTGAGGGGCTGTTCAGGGTAGTGAAACAAGGAAAACAAGATGCTGGGGACTGTGATCAAGATGGATCGTAATGAAGAACGGCCCTCCCGCCGCTGAGCTTCCTGCCGCCCTGGTGACCCACACCCCTGCCCTCACCCTCATCCTCAGCTCATCCAGCCCCGCTCGGCCCTGAGGGGGCTCCCCCCCCCCCCCCATAAAAGCTGACAGCAGGTTTCAGGAAGGCAGGTTTTCTCCTGGGTCCTTGAGGAAGATAGGCCTCGAGAGAAGCCTCATCAGTTATTTGCAACAATTGTTGAATCTCAAAAGTTCAACCAGGCCCCAGATATGGCCGGTCGCCCTGTCCACAAGCATGGGCTCTGTGTTCTTCTGTCCCCGTTTCCCTACAAATGGAGCCGGAAGGGCCTGACGACAAAGGTGTGTGTGACCGATGACAGGTTCCGGGAGGCTAAGGCAGTTGTCCAGGGTCACACAGCTAATGCGTGGCAGAACTGGAGCTGGACCCCACGTGTTTTGATACCCAGTTAACACACCTGCTGCTTAGTTCTCTGTGCAGTCCTGCCTTCCTGGAAAAAGTAAAGCAAAGGAAATGAAAGAAAGCGTCCTCAGTCATTTCCTGATCTCTCTTGAGTCAGGGCTTCCGCGCTAACGGGTTTTTAACAGCAGTTTTAGATGAACTTCGTGGGGACAGTAACTTGGGCTGTCTGTCAAGGGGATGGTTTTCTTCTGATTGATCAGGATATCGGGATTCGGAATCAGGCACGGCCAGCGTGCCCCTCAGAGGTCGGCAGAGTGAGTCTGCGAGGTTGGCTGGCCGCTGGAGCTGGCTGGGTCTCGGGCCAGGATGGTTGAGTCTGGTTTTCTCCCCGTGGCACGTGGCACACGGTGCTCACGAGGCTGAGGTTTTGCTGGAACAGAATCTCTGCTCGAGGTCACAGGCAGCACCTCCATTCGTTACCAGCTTCCCATGGTTCCCAGGGGCCGGGTCACAGGGCACTTGTCCAGAAGGACTGTGCTCAGCCCGCCGCACCTGGACAAACATGTGTGCCTACTAGTGACACGGTGGGGGACCCAGGTGCGGTCATAATCCTTCAGACACAAGGAGAAGAACCTGCAATGTATTGACTGGCCTGGCAAGGAGGGTGCTGAGAAATCTTTCATTTTTAACAATTTCTTAAATCTCTGCTATAAAAGCCTTGTGTTTGTGAGATGTGCTTGTCACCTAGGGGCTCTTCTGCCTTATTCCTGTGCTCATTTCTGTGGGATGTCAGTCCAGCGCTTTGAGTAACTCTAGGACAGCGGTTCTCAACCTGTGGGTCGCGACCCTTTGGGGGTCGAACGACCCTTTCACAGGGGTCGCCTAAGACCATCGGAGAACACATCTATAATTACATATTGTTTTTGTGATTAATCACTATGCTTTAATTATGTTCAATTTGTAACAATGAAAATACATCCTGCATATCAGATATTTACATTACGATTCATAACAGTAGCAACATTACAGTTATGAAGTAGCAACGAAAATAATTTTATGGTTGGGTCACAACATGAGGAACTGTATTAAAGGGTTACAGCATCAGGAAGGTTGAGAACCACTTCTCTAGGACTTAGTGTATGTAACTCTAGGACTTAGTGTATGTAACTCTGGGACTTAGTGTATGTAAACCGGCATCTGAAGCGTGCTCACCAGGCTCCCCTTTGTTCTGCTTGTGTGTTCCACAGGACCCGGCCTTCTCAGCTGTCATACACGACAAGCTGCAGGTCCCCAACACCACCCGCAAGGCCTGGAATGACAGGGACAACCGCTGTGACATTTGTGCGACGCACCTGAACCAGCTGAAGCAGGAGGCCATCCAGATGGTGGTGACCTTGGAGCAGGCAGCGGGCAGCGAGCACTACGACGGCTCCCCCGGCTCGCCCCCACCCCTGCCCAGCATCCCCGCGCTGGGGGGGTCCCGGCACGTGGGCGGGCTGCCGCAGCCCCGGGACTGGGCCTTTGTGCCCGCCTCCTATGCCTCCTCCAACTACGCGGCCTTCGTCACCAACAAGCACAACGGCAAACCCAGCAGCCTCGGCGTCAGCAATGGGGCCGAGAAGAAGAGTGTGTCCCCCACCCATCAGGCCAAGGTCAGCCTCCAGATGGCCACCAGCCCCAGCAACGGGAACATCCTCAACTCCGTGGCCATCCAGGCTCACCAGTACCTGGATGGCACCTGGTCCCTGTCAAGAACCAATGGGGTCACCCTGTACCCCTACCAGGTGAGTAGCCGCTGAGCAAGGCAGAGCAGGGCTGGTCGGAGTCAGAGCAGAGAAGCGGGCAGGTGATGCTGCCTTTCTCCACTCTCGTGCTTCTGGAAACTCCCCAGCTCAGAGCCTGATGCTTCCACGTGGCCCCCGTGGACATTGCTAACCACGGATAAAACATGCGAGAAGCCACTGACCCACGGAAGGGAAGGTGTAGACTCCCTTCCCAACCTCTCCCACCTCGAGGGACCATAACCCTTTGCTGTTTGCCGGGAGGTTACCACACGGGTTTCCACTTTGGTCATTATCTTTTCTCAGTTGTTGAAGTTAGCACAGACTCCCAAGTTTTCCTATAGGAATAAGAGAGCAGGTCTTAAATCTGCCAAGGAACTGAAACAAATTCTCTTAATTTTTCTTGGCTGAGTTCTCTGTTGGACGAGGGTTGGGTTTGCTGTATGTGTTCCCTTTGTCCCCGGCGAAAGCGTTGACTGACTGTGGAGTGAGAGGTGCCCAGGGTCATGCAGTGTATCAGTCAGGGAAGATAACTGGTGTAACAAATGAGCTCGGGGTATGTATTTCTCATATCTCTGTTGTGTTGATGTTTGGGCGGAGGGTGGCCTTCCACTGAGATGTAGGGACTCGGGCTCCCCTACCTAACATGCCAACATGTTGCAGGGGCCTTGGGGCTTCAGAGCCTTCCACCAGATCTTGCACAACCAGCCAGGACCTGGGTAGAAGGATGTGCACCAGACCATTTTATTTAGAGTAGCAAAACTCTAAACGATGCCTGGTCACATAAATTAGGACCCATTCCTATAATGGATAGTACTTATATAATGGAATATTACGCTACCATTAGACTTCACATTTCAGCAAAATAGATAATGGCATGGGAAAATGCACTCGGTATATGAAGCAGCAAGCAGGGAAGAGGGAGTGTGGAGGATCTCACAGGGAGGCTTGGGGGCCCAGCCTGGAAGGGTGTCGTTAACGTCCATCCACTTTCCAGTGGCTCCTGGCCCCACCTTCCCTCTGGGGAGCCTGGGAGAGTCAGTCCGTCCATGTGCCCGAGAGAAGCAAGCAGCAAGTTGAGTGGACACAGAGCGTCGTTTTTGTTCACGGGGCACAGGTACAGGGAAACATAAATGAGTTGACCGTGGCCGATAAGCTTCCTGGTAACTTTTCTAGAGTGCAAGAGGGAATATAGATCGCTTCTCATGATTTCTTGCAATAAAAATAAAAATTGGGAGCATGGATCATTATTTTATGAAGTACACATTCTTGGGTGGGCAGACATTGATTCACTGGGTGCTCCGTAGCTTACAACATACAGCGCACCCAGGATTGTGTTGAACCCTAGAACAGGCCTACGAGGGGGGCAGGGCAGATGTCAGCTTTTCGTTTGAATTTGAAGTTGAATGGCCTGTGGCTACAGTTAGTGACAGAAGCAAGACCAGCTCTCTCCTGCCGAGAGGAAGGGGTTCCCCTACTTGGCTGCTCCCGGCGCCCCCAGAGCTATCTGCTGCCCACAGCGTTTCCGGGGTGGCTCCTTTGCAGACACGCACCCCAAATAAAAGGGCTCCTATTTTGACCTGCAGGGGCCCGGCTGCCACTTCACTTTCGGGCAGAACTTCCTGGGCTGTGGGGATAAGTATAACGAGGAGCCAGTGGCACCCTGGGTGGCTTCGCGGTCCAGAGCTTGAACTTGACCATCGAGGGCAGGAGCAGAAGAGCTTCTTCCCGTTGGCGAATAGCATGCCTCCTCCGTTTGCAATTTTAAAACAGGCGGTTTTGAAAATGACAAAAAGTAACCCATGTCTGTGGTAAAACAAAATAAAAAAAAAATATGAAAAGGTTCAAATAAGACTTTAAAAAATCAACATCCCCCAGAAATAGATGGTGTAACATTTGGGTCTATTTCTTTAAGTCCTCTGTATACCCACAATTGATAAAATGGTGACCATGTCCCATTCTGTGATCTGCCTTTTGCTGGATATACTGGGTGCATTTCCCATGGCGTTGTCTATTTTGCTAAAATATGATCTAATGGTAGCACAATATTCCATTATATGAATACTATCCATTCTGTGACTGTGACCTAATTTATGTAACCAGGCATCAATTCGTAGAGGGCAGGGTCTTGCTACTCTACGTAAAACGGTCTGGTGCACATCCTTCTACCCACGCCGGATTTCCATCGCGTCTCAGGTTGTGCTTGTCACATGATCCCGTTTCAGGGATGACTCCCACTTCACCCTCCCGGCCCGAAGCACAGGTAACATGAGCCAGTGCTGAGTAGAAGGTTCGGCTGCTGCCCAGCGCAGATGAGCACAGACAGAGGACCCGGAAGCGGCGCTTTCATGTACAACATTCCAGGTGTTGGAAGGCTGGTGTGAGGCGGAGGGATAGCTGGAGATGCTGCCTAAGGGGAAGATCAGGGTGGTGGCACATTTATGTAATTTGGGCAATGATGCTCTCTGTCCCTCCTCTTCTCCAGCTCCGATGAGGAGTTTCCTGAGCAGTAACAGATGTTTATTGAGCTCTAACCGAGTGCCAGGCGCTGTGCTAGGTGTGGGCGGAGCTCCTGCTTCGGGCTGGAAACTCAGGTTCCTGTCTGTGGTCCTTAGGGGAGGAGGCAGCTGAGCCTCCTCTGATAAGCCAGGGAGGTCAGTGCAAAGGTGGAGAGATGCCCAGGCCGCGTGGGGGACACACAGAAGGGCTCCCAGTTCAGCCCATGGGGCAAGGGTGGGCCGCTGTGGCCTAAAGCCAGCTGCAAACAGCATTCCCGCCAGCCACAACCTGCGATTGTCCTGGGCGGATCTGATGGCTTCTGGCCAACCCCAGAGCAGCCCGATTCATGCATTTCCCTCGAGCAATAGCTGAAGCTCGGGGAGGAACTCTCTCTGGGATAAAGCGACTCGGTGCCTGGCTGGGAGTCAACGTCCCCGTGGCACGGCCGTCCTCCCGGTGCCCTGCGGCGCGGGCTCCGGGCCAGGCCAGACTGCGTGTCTCCTGCTGGGGACATCTCCCTGCTGTAAATTCTCTGCAGTTCACCGTCTGGCCCGCCTGGCAGAGATGGTTGACTGCTCTGAGGGTGACCTCACTTTTCCTGCTCACTCTGCCTCCTTCCCCACAGAGCAGCTGGCCCGCTGGGGCGGTGCCAGGGCCGGTCCCGGACAGAGAGGCACCCAGGCTCTGTCACTGCTGGGGTGCTGCTCCTCACTCACAGCCCGGGCCTGAGAAGCAGGAGGAAAGGACACTGTCCTTTGACATTTTAAGGAGGATGGCAAAAACCAGGACAGGTTTGTAGTGAGCAGGGGAACCTGTGTGTGGGTGATAGGAGGCTCTCAGATCCATCAAGCCCCGTTACCCACAGCACCGGGCAACCATCTGTGATCAGCTTCCGAAGAAAGACTTCCTTCTGTGAGCTTGCAGACATCTGCCACAGTCTGTGTGCAAACGTGAAGGCAGAAAAGGCTCTAGAACAAGCATGCCAAACTCAAAGGCTAACACGGGCCAAATAAACGAGGCACGTGGCCCGCGGGCCGCGAGTTTGACATGCTTGCTCTAGATCAGTGATGGCGAACCTATGACACGCGTGTCAGAGGTGACACGCGAACTCATTTTTTTGGTAGATTTTTTTTGTTAAATGGCATTTAAATATATAAAATAAATATCAAAAATATAAGTCTTTGTTTTACTATGGTGGCAAATTTCAAAAAATTTCTATATGTGACACGGCACCAGAGTTAAGTTAGAGTTTTTCAAAATGCTGACACGCCGAGCTCAAAAGGTTCGCCATCACTGGTCTAGAACCTTCATGGACCTCATGAGTTTTGACTGATTAGTTCCTTGTAGTCAGCCATACATTAACTGGTTTTGAAGGGCAGCTGCTTTTGCCTGCTTTCCATTCATTACAGTAAACAAACTGCAGAAAAGACTGTACACATAACATCAGCATCATAGAAGGTTCCAGAGTCACAGAATGACAGCATCCACTCCTGTAGGATGGAGGAGTGGATGCCTCGTTCAAGTCCGTGGCCCCGCCCGTTGTTGAACCTCAGTTTAGTAGCTTAACATCTTAGTCTGTTTTCTTCCTATGAAATCCCTACCTTGTACGACTATTGTGGAGGGCAATTAAGAAAAAAATGAAACTGTTTTATAAAGGATAAGGCAGGGATACCGATGTGGATTGCCTATTTCAACCCCCTCGTTCGCTAGAGGAGAACCCCGAGGCTGAGAGAGAGGAAGTTTCTTTTGTTCAGCTTCCTGAATCTTGGTGTGGTCTCTTCTGCTGGATCACAGGCTCACTGAGGACGTGGGTCCATTTTATTCTCATGTCCCTCCCAGCAGCTAAATGTGTAAAACTGGGTGCTCGTTAGAGAAAGCTTCAGTCTCAGGGAAACACGAAAGGTGTTTCTTATGATGGGCCCTAGATTTTGGGGAAAAATTGCAGGCCAAAAAAATCTATTCGAACCCTAAGATTTTTGGTGGAAATCCAAAAATCTTTAACCCAAAATATCCTTGACGATACTCATTAAGTCCTTGGTTGCAATGACTAGAATTTTGATGCCACACTCAATCCAGGGAGATTTGAAAGGTAGAAGTACCTTGTTTCTTAGGGTTTTGATAAATTGACCTTATCAAGAAAATTCAAGAAGATGTTAGATTAGTGCGTGAGTCACAAATCCAGATGGATCATTCAGCATGCATTCCTCGAGCGAGGGATGCGGCTCTGGTGAGAATGACCCTGCTTTCTCACCAAGCACCGTGGGAACCCAGGGCCCAGGAAATGCTAGACTGAACTCCGGCTGAAGTCAGGGAGGGAGTTTCCTATTACATCTTTAGAAATGCATCGTGTCTAGAAAGCACGGGCATGAGGGAGGTTACTCTTCAAGACGGGTGAGCACGAGGGACGTGGCAGCAGCACCAGCCAAAAGCCACCCCAGTTCGCTAAGCCGTGGGGTCTCTGCAGGACCAGGCCTTGCTCTGCAGCGGTCGGAGGCCTGGGGGGG